TCTACTAACAGGGGGCTAAAGGAAACAGATGCTAATGCCAGGTAGTCCGAGCACTTAATGCATTTCAAGTTCTCAACTACCTACCGACGTATACCGGCCCTCGTATAATTTGTTGAATTGTGAGCATTACCTCCCTAGCAATTTCCACCTTCATCTTGCCCTCGTGCGTACCGTCGATATCCATCCATCTATAGAGTTCGTTCAGTCGCCCAGGCTGGCCATCGCGCATGCTGCTACTGCTGCTGCTGCTGCTGGACTTCTCGGGGTCAATAGAGTTTTGGTTACACGCACAAGGGGGACCCGATAAGAGGGGGGACAGGGGAAATTAATAGGCCTTCGACACGACCCGACCGACCTGACGTACCTAGCCCGACCCCAGTGATGGAAGTGAATGTCTAATGCTAGCGCTGCCGGCTTTGTTCTTTGGCATCCTGCTCCCAGACCAGGACTGTGTCATCATCGGTTCCTGCGTGCTCTCGCCAACACAGCCGAGATCGAGGTCGAGGTCGAGGTCGCACAGCGACAACGACGGCGACGGTCGAGGTGACGAGGTGACGAGGTGACTGAGAGGCGACGGTGACGGGCAGCACCACGTTGCCACCACCGAGCGCCCACCGGCCCAACCTGCGACCCTAGGCACCTAATAGTCAGTAGGCCTCTCGCTGTACCGTACAGTACATACATCCAGGTATGCCACCTGCACTCAGCATTGCCACCTACCCACGATAATCCAGTCGACCCGTCTGCCAGCCCAGCAGCCCTTCGACATCGCGTTCCCGTTCCCGTTGCCCTTCCTGTTCTCGTTGTTGCTATATACCTGCTGTGCGGTTACAGCGTTGTTTGTCTATATCGTCGCATCTATCGTCTCACCACGTACTTGTGCGCTTCGCCGGTCTTGATTAATAAATACTACGTACCGACTTACCCATCTCCGTCTGTCTCCATCTGCATTACGTCCCATCCAATATCGCTGGACCAGCAGACCCTTTTGCCGTCCCCGGCCCACTCCTGTTGGGACCATCCCCTTGGCCCACCCTCCCGAGGCGGCTATCTCCCATTCCCTCCGCCGGCGCCCATCCAGATCAGCTTCAAGCCGCCCCAGGCTTTAAAGGCCCTCCGTCCTCTTCTTTCCATCGTCGCGCATTCAGTCCCGACCTGATCTCGGCGTCGTCCGAAGCCCACAATGGCATCGAGGCAGCCTGCCGACGGGGCGCGCCCCGAAGTGGGCGATATCTTGGTCGTCATTCGTGAGTCTTATTCGTCTTGCCGTCTCCCGCGTATCCTGCATCCCCCCTCGTGGGCGCTAACAGATGTCACCATCGTCGCAGATGACTTCCAGGCCAGGAGCTCCGATGAACTGAGCTTGGCCAAGGGCGATCGGGTCGAGTTGATCGAGCGAGACGATGAGTTTGGCGACGGTTGGTTTCTGGGTCGCCACATGGTGAACGGGAACAACGGCCTGTTCCCCGAGGGTGTGTCGTTCCCCCGCTCACTCCCTCTCTTACGTCGACTAAACCTTACCCGACAGTGTATACGAGAGCAGCCCCCAAGGGCGTCGTGGTGCCTGCCATCTCAGCGAAGCCCGCTCCAGGTGCTTCTCACGCCCACCCCTCCAATGGCACACCCGTGGCATCGCCCCAGCCAGCAAAATCCGCACCCCCGCCGGCGGCGCAACCGATATCGAATTCTAAAATTACCTCTTCCTTACTCGGCGAGCATAGCACAGTTACACTACCCCTGAGCGCCACAAAACAGGAGACTCGATCCGTTTCGGCCCCAGCAGTGCAGTTATCCGACAAGGCCCCCAGTTACGGCGCTGGGCACGTCGCGTCGATGCACCTTAATCCATCATCGAGTCAGGATAGCCAGGTCCTCCACGATACCTTGACTGTCATTGACGAACATATAACTGACCTTCACTCCCCTGCGCAAAATGGACATGCGCACCACGCGACGGACTCTGGTAGCGAATACAGTTCGCAGAATCGGCTCTCATACATTCAGGGCGAGGAGACAGATGAAGAAGAGGACGCTCCGCATAGTCGTGCAGAGGTCGAGGCTTGGAGTGCGGATGACGTAGCCGAGTATCTATTTACCGTCGGGGTGGAAAAGAAACATTGCGAGGTTTTCCGGGACCAGGAGATTGCCGGCGAAGTACTTCTAGGCATGGACCAATCATCGCTTTTTCTAAAAGCTTTCGACTTGGGTTCCGTAGGGAGGCGCTTGAAGACCTGGCAGAAGATAAAGGGTCTACAAGACGAGGTGAACGGACACGGTCTTGCCATGCGACGACAGACATATGGTAGCGATGCGGGATCCGAAGACTCTAGGGCAACTGGCAGGAGGAGAAGTCGGACCAGTACCCTTACAGGTGCCCAGAGACTTTCGCCCATAGAGGATCGCCCAACATCAGTTCATGCCAAACGTCTCTCCCAGACTCCTAGAATGGAAGCCATGACGCCGGGTGGCCCCATCTCACCAAGTCGTCTCCTTGACAGTCCCACGAAGCAGTCCCATCAGAAGAGGCCATCAGCAGCTTCTGTGCGGGATCTTCATCATTCACGACGACATTCCTCTACCGACTTCCGACTTACTGTTAACCCCCCCACGAGCAATACGGGAACCCCAAAGCTTTCCACCGCAGGGACCTTTCCACAGGTCGAACCATCTCACAAAAAACAGCCTTCTTTTGACCGGAATTGGACAATGGGTGCCGCACCGACCCAACAGTCGTCTCGACCACTATCCTCGACAAGTTTTCAAGAGATTGTCAATGCATCGAATCCTGACGTCTCCCAAGATTCTTCAGCCGATCTCGAACGTGGGTATTTTTCTGGTACAGAACTAGATGGCCGCCGCCGTAACGTGCTTAAGAAGCGTGACAGTATCGCTTCCCACGTTCAACAATCGAGCTATGCAGAGCAGCAACGAGTCAGAAGTGCAACGGCATTGTCGAGACGTTCCCGCTTCGGAAGTGCTGATTTCAATCGAGACACGACTCCTCCATCAGCTGTGCAAACGTACTACAGTACAAGCGGCGACCACCGTCGAAATACTTCTACTACGACCACAGATTCGTATCGACCACCACCGCCAGCAAAAGATGGCCCATCGCCCACAGTCACAAAGCTCGATGATAACGCGCGTGCTTCTCCTACAAAACTAGGTGCCCGGCAAGGCGCTCATGGTGACTGGCTATCGAGTACTAGCGGGAAGATTGCCGGGTTTGGTGGATTGCGAGCCATATCTGATGCTGTTACCGGCACTGATCGCTCAAAAATCGGGCTATCATCTGATGCCTCTATCAAAGATTCTCCTTTACAATCTCCTGCCAGGACCGGCTCTAGTACTCCCTCAGCTGGCCCCAGTTTTGATCTAGACTCACCAGACGCTGGAAGGAGCCCATATTCTACTACAACAGCCGGTAGCCGAAAGAACGGAAAGAAGACAAAGAAAGAAACAAGTGCGTATCTACGCGGTCTACAGAAAATCGGCCCCAGAGAGGCAATCAAAGATGCGGACTACAGCGGATGGATGAAAAAGAAGAACTCGCATCTTATGACAACGTGGAAACCGCGGCTTTTCGTTCTAAGGGGAAGGAGGCTTTCATATTACTATTCAGAAGACGATACCGAGGAAAAGGGACTGATTGATATTTCTTTTCATCGAGTGCTCCCGGCCGATAACGAACGTTTGACTGGCCTGCACGCTACCCTGACAGGTGCTAGCAACACGCCAGTAACGCCTGCAGATAGCAATATTCACACTCTTGCCGAGAGTGATGCCGCCGCAGTTGCAGCTATAGAGAAAGGTCCCGATGCGATGTTCATATTCAAGCTTATGCCGCCTCGAGCAGGCCTCTCCAAAGCTGTTAACTTCACCAAACCTACAGTTCACTACTTTGCAGTACCAAATCTCCAGCAGGGGCGGGCTTGGATGGCGGCGTTGATGAAAGCGACCATCGATCGTGACGAGAGCCAGCCCATGACCTCCACGTATCAGCAGAAGACTATTTCTCTTACTAAGGCAAGGCAGATGCGTCACCGACCACCGGCCCTGATGAATCTCGACGAGAAGATAGAGGAAGGTGTGCAGGATGATGTTGAAAAGAAAGGAGGCCTGGGCATCTCCTTTGGCGAAGTCGATAGTGCAGTATCTGGTTTAGAGAAGCCGGGCGCTCAAAAGGCGGGAGGGAGTGCCACAACGCTCAAGTCAACTTTTAACACGGAGAAGGGTGATCTAAGCTTTACGTCCTCGCCCCAGAGCGCTTAATCTATGCTATTATACCTGGGGTTGCGTGGAGATACCATCAATTTCATCAATTTTTCATATATGGCTCGTTAATGCAAACAGCATCCCACCAACTACGGGAGACATGCCGCTTAGACCTCTGGTGGGCTGGCTGGCGTGACAAGGAAGCAGTGGCAGGGATCTGTGCTGTAACTATCCAAGTAGAGGGGAAGTACCTACTTTAACATCATCTCGTCGAAGGGGGCTCCTTGATGATGTAGACGTGGGAAAATTGAGGGCATGGGAGACCGGTGATTGAACCAAAAGCGTCGGACAGCATGTCGCCGGTTATAAATGAGTGAATGAGAAGATTCGTTGTGTATAGGTTTCTTTTCACCCCTGACCGCCCCTTCTAGCTACACCTGTGCTTATGAGTGGACGTGGGAGACAGGTCTCCTTCGAGGAAAAGGAAGAGAATATATACTTAAGTTACCTACCTACTACTACTACTACTTAATTAGCAGTCCATAAGTTCTAATATAACTGTACAAATAAGTCGTCGAGGTTGGTCCAGAAGCGTCTTCAAATGTAAATTAAAATGTACCTAGCCTAGGTAGGTAGTACATAGTTCCACCCCGCTTATGTAGGTAGCTTCTATGTGTGACACCACAGCAGGTACAGTCAGTGAGACTCACTGTCTTGGGTTATATGACGACTTACTCCCGATTTTGGCCAATAAAGTAATTCTCTACTTGGCCCGATTATTCGGCGTACTCTTGGCCGAGTGGTCTAAGGCGCTAGTTTTAAGCTAAATCCAGCTATTCTCGGCTGTTTACTTCACTAGTAACGAAAGTTGCGCGAGTTCGAACCTCGCAGAGTACAATATTTTGGGGTCCCTTTTTGCCCCCTATTACCAATGTGTGTTTTTTTTTTCACAGTTTTGAGGTTCGTGTCTTTTTTTATATAGGTGGTGGGTGTAATGGTACTTACTACACTGGCAGAGACTATTTCCTTCAACTGTGTCAATTGTGACAAGGGCATGGCCACGAAGGCATTGTGGGCTCTGGAGCAGAACCCTAGGTGGGTGTGGTCGTGGGCGACGGACAACGAAGCAAGACAGGTCATGATTTTCATAAAAGTCTCGCTATGTACTATTTATTTTGCATGTTGCATCTATCCGTCATTCTATCTCATCGTCTATCCCATCCTTTTTCGGCATCTAGCGGAACGGAAGGGGGGTTGCCCCCGTCTTTCTACTCTCCTTGATGAAGTCGGCGGCCCTCTCGGCGACGGCGTACACGGTCGTCTGGATGTTGCCGAGCGGCTCCAGGGGGATCATGCTGGCGTCGACGACGCGGATGTTGGAGGTGCCGTGGACGATGAGGCGCTCGTCGACGACGCCCCCCAGCTCGCGCGGCAGCATGCGCGCGGTGCCGGCGATGTGGAAGCAGGACACGGTCCGGCCGCGCACGATCTCCTTAGCCACCTCGAGGTCGTCGCCGGTCGCGTCCGGCAGCCGCTTCAGCGCCGGGTCGATCATGTCCTTGTAGGGCGCCGTGTTGACAATCTTCTCCACGAAGCCGACCGTGCGCGCCAGGATTTCGAGATCCAGCGGGTGCGTGCAGTAATTCGGGTTCCACGTCGGCGGCACCGAAGCCTCCTTTGAGGAGATGTGCACGTTCCCCCGCGAGAACGGGTGGTTGAGCAGCGAGAGGATGCCGATGCAGTCGTAGGGCGCGTGCGATGTGAACATGTCCGTCAGCGTGTCCGGATGCGGCGTCACTGTCAGCGACCCCGGGAAGCACAGGTATTGGATCGCGGGCTCCGTCTCCGTCTCGAGGAGCTCGCGGATCAGCTTGAACTCGCGCTTCTGCACGGGCGTCAGCGCCGGCCCGCTCGTCAGGTACTTGTCGAAGAGGGCCTTGCGGTCCGCCTGCGTCATGACGCCGTTGCGGTCAGCCATTGGTACGTAGGCCACGCTGGTTCCCATGCCCGCGAGCGGCCCCTGCTTCGTCGACACGTACTGCTCAAAGGCGCTTTGGAACTTGGCTGGGTCGCGGAGCCCGTCGGCGGATGGGAATCCCTTCTTTACTGGGAATTGTTGTGAAGTCATGAGGTGATCCTGCATGTGCTCGCCGACGTTGGGATTGTCAATCAAGACATCGATCCCGAGGCTTTCGAGAAGGTCGCGGTCGCCAATGCCGGATAATTCTAGTAGCTGTGGTGTCCGGATGGTTCCTGCGGCTAGAACCACTTCCTTGTTGGCCGTGATAGTGGTCACTTTGCCGTCCTTATCCTTCACCTCTACGCCTGTGGCGACGACCACACCATCCCGCGTCTCTGTGGTGATTTTCTGCACTGTTGTTTCCATCAATACCGTAAGGTTCGGTCGTTTGGCGATCTCCTCCGTGTAGTATGCCGTGACGGACGAACTGCGGATGTTCGTCCCTCTTTCGATAGTTGATGAGTTTTGGAACGCGCCGATGGCCTTGCCGGTCCTGGGATCTGTCTTCATCTCTAGTCCTAGCTCGGCGAAGGTCTTGAACCATTTTTCGTTCATGACAGAGTACTGGTCATCGAAAGAGAGCTGCACGGGGCCGTCACCCGTCAGATCTTCCTGGTAGTAGTCTAGACCTCCTAGAGTTTCCCGGATCGCCTGGCTCGGCGGATGTGATGTGGAGAATTTCTTAAAGTAAGGAGCGAGGTCGTCGAATGTCCATCCTTTGTTGCCCATCTTGCCCCAGGTGTCTAGGTTCGTCCGCGAGGGAAACATGACCATCATGAAATTGGTCAATGAGCTGCCGCCCAAGACCTTGCCGGTATCCTGCCGAAGATGGCGACCATTCAACTCGGTCTAATAACCATAAACATGTCAGTATTCCCAGCTGTATAAATGGTGGTTATCGGTAGTGAAGAATTCTGTACTTGGGCCGTAGACCGAAATGGCCAGATGTAGCTATCGTCGGCGTAGGCGCCAGCGACAAGACCCGGGGTTTCTAGAGCAGGGTCCTTTCTCTTGTCGGCCCCAGCCTCAATGACAAGAACGCGTACATCAGCATCCTCAGTGAGGCGGGCTCCCACCACCAGCCCTGATGTACCGCCACCAACGACGACGTAGTCATATGATTCGCTCATTTTCCCTCGCGAGATGTTGCGATGAGAACGATTGCCACTAGCTTAGAATGTTTATTATGAAGGCAAGAGGAAAAGAGGCTGGGGAAAGGTAGAGAAATCTACGACTCGAACTTGAGGGACACGCATTTTACTAGTACGGTAAGCTTACCTGATGCCGGCAAGGGATTGGATGCCGCAACTTTAATGCGGCAGCTCTATCACTAATAGTGCATGGTGTAGCTTACTGCTCCTCCCTTCTGGACATGCGATGTCACCTCACCTCACAAACTGGGATAGGTCGCTGCTGATCGATCCTCCTGGACGACCTTCAGATGCCCCTAATAGTGCGACTTGGCTCTCTGCTTTCCTAATTCTAAAGATCTTCAGGGTCTTTGGGAATGGGGAGTCAGCTTGCAGGGTGCGGTATAACGGTTGCGGTGTCCACGCTTCGCTACGTACATGACGAGCGACAGGCTTAGGAGTTTTGGGAAGGGCATGGAGGGGCATTTAGTCTAGCATGAGGGGTACAACACCATTCGATCCGTCCCATAGTGGGCTGAGCCCTTACTGATAAGTATGATATTCGGACTGTTCGGACCGAGTGGAAGGAGTCAAGGTTGCTGTTCAGCGCCCAAAGAAGAACGCGAGGATGAAATGGGAAGATTGGCTTATGGATGATTACTTTGCAAAACATATCGCAAGTTCACATTTCATAATCGTCCTCACCGTTCTTTGTGTACAGTGGTTTAAATGAAATACGATACCTAGACTATCGCGGTGTATGGGTCTCTAGGAGCGACGAATTACCTGCTCCGAACCGACTCGTCGCAAGCCACCGTCTCCTAATCGAGGATGCCGTGGACGATGCCGATCTCGAACGCTGATGTCCTTTGTACAATGCACGAGCGAGCCAACTGGATACGCTTCTTGGGGAACCGTCGAGATAGCGTATGTCTAGAGCTTGATCTACTGGTTTAGAGTACTGGCCTGGGATGGATAAGCCCTCGGTACAATCACCGTGCGAAGGAATTCATTGATTCCCTGCATCGAGGCGGAATGGTGTCAATGCACTGCCCAAAGTCCCCGGCACTATCATCTGCATCTCCGCGAATTCCTGGGACTGCAAAACCTACGCAATCCAGAATAGCGGCCTTCTATCTGCCTGTCTTCATTCTGCCGCCAAATACCAAAGAGTTAGCAGCTAGAGCGCCATGCATAGCTAGGTCGCGGTCTAGACCTCTATGCTAGGCACTACGATGGTTTCGTCTTTTAGAGAAAGACTGCTAGTTCAACTTGGGGATTCTGGACGTCGACTAAGGCTCCTCGATCCTGATTCAGGGAATCGTTAAGATGGCTTTGTGGTTGGTGAGGGGGCCTAAGTAAGTATAGGGTATCTTGAGAGATATCGGCTGAAGCTTCACAGCTGGTCCCGGGTTGTTGAGTAAGTAGAATTGATGGTCTGGCACTACACCTACCTACATACTTATTTACAACCAGGTCGCGCGTGGAAATAGATACTAGGTATCGAGATGCTACAAGCGATGTAACAATTATTGAAAAAACTTGGAAAAATGTGAGTGAATTTTGTGGTAGTCCTGAGGCCATTATATCTTAGATGTAACCTATATCTAAGCGATATATTAAACCATGATACAAAGTGAGACTGAGTATCGAGAGTGTAACATGAATAAGAGTGCTTATTCTTGCAGTGTGATTTGAGGGCTATAGCGACGGCATAAGTCTTTCATTTTCTTTCTGCACATTGACAGCAATGATATATTCAACTTAATATGACAAATATTCCTTCAAGCAATCATCTATTCCAGCATCTTCCACAGCCTACTCAAATCATTGTTATATAAATATATATGACTCTTCTTTCTGCTCAATGTATGAGGTGCGGATATAAGGGCAAAGGGAGCTCGGCGTTAGCAAGGCTTACAAGCCCTTGACGGCTGCGAATGAGCCCGCAGCCCGTCGGCCCCTGCAAACACCGTCCCGCCCGTAGTTGCATCACCGTGCAGGCCGCTGCTAGCTGACGAGCTTTCCACATTCCGGCGCAGAATTCTCAACCATCATCATCATCATCAGCGACCTCATTGTCGCGTCACCACGCTTATTCTAATCTACACCACTTAGCTGCGATCGCGACTCCCTACGACATTTATCATAATTTTCCGAAACCTATCAATTCATTTATTGGGCACTTGCGAACTTCGTTGATTAGCTTGAACCCCGAGCTTTTTTTTTCCCCCTCTAAATTTGGTGGTCACGCGATAATTCTACGGCTAGTACCTGATGCGCTGACACCCGCAAACTTCTGACACCTCTACCGACAAACCCCCGGTGCCTTCCGAGTACGCCGACGACTCGACTGCGAACAACGACGGACCTGTCTTTGGAGGGAAAGGGGAAAACACACCATGTTACGGGCTTACCTTCGCACTCTTCGCCCACTTCTGCAGCCATCCGGAAATTCCGTCGGTTTACAGAATGCGCTCGGCTTAGAAGCACATCCCCTACGACGGGCATTTGCTTCGATATCGCAGCCGAGTCTAGAGTTCCCGATTTCGAGCATCGCCCGAAACATCAACTACAGACCGACAATTTCGAACCCGATCAACAAATCCTACCAATCTCCATTGCGAACGAACAAGCGATCATTCCGCAACACTTCGCGATTACGAGATTCGAAGCCCCGTCCGAGCAAGTCAAATACACAGGCACCCCAAGGTTTGTCGGCGAGGCTTAAGAAGTTATCTAGGGAA